AACTTTGTTGCTTTGAGTGGAGCTCAGAGCCGCCGCTTCAGGCAGGAGCTTGGCTTCCTCCATCATTGGGGCAACCAAGCCTCCTGCTTGCTCCAGCTACATGGCTGCTGGCCGCCATCTTGGTTGGGTTAATTTGCATATAGTCGCTCTGATTGGCTGGTGGGCGTGGCCTAAGGCATAGCGAAGGTATGGTCAATTTGCATGTTTGTCTTTTATTAGTGTAGATTAGTTTAAACCACATGAAATTGCTGGCATTTCACTGTTTTGACCTTAAAAAAAATAGGATTTGATTTAGTTCAACCTAAAAATAGCCAAGAGTCTCCCGTGGTCGGCAAACTGCGGCTTGCGAGCCACATGCGGCTCTTTGGCCCGTTGAGTATGGCTCTTCCTAAGCCTTAGGAGTACCCTAATTAAGTTAATAACAATGTACCTACCTATATAGTTTAAGTTTAAAAAATTTGGCTCTCAAAAGCAATTTCAATCATTGTACTGTTGATATTTGGCTCTGTTGACTAATGAGTTTGCCGACCACTGGCCAAGACAAAGTGTGTGATTCATAGTTATACAGCTGCCAGGGACCCCACCCCCAAGCCCTGCCCACCATCGAGGGTCCTGCCACCTGACTTCTGGCACCATTTTTGAACTCCATGTAAATGGAGTCTTACAGCGTGGACTGTTTGGTGTGACATTTGCCTGGCATGTTTGTTTTTTAATCCTCACCCGAAGAGTTGTTTTTATTGATTTTAGAGAGAGAGGAAGTGAGAGAGGGGGAGAGAGAAACATTGATCAGTTGCCTCCCGTTCGCCCCTACTGGGGATCGAACTCGAAACCTGGGTATATGCCCTGACTGGGAATCGAACCTGCAACCTTTTGGTGTATGGGCAACGCTTACCCAATGGAGCCACCAGCCAGGGCTGCGCAGGTTTCAGAGCTTCCTCCATGTGGTGTGTGGTGGTGGTTTGTTGACTCCATTGCTGTGAGCATCTCGTCTCACCCTGGACCTCTGCTCCTTTACTCCTTCGGGGACCTCGGTTGTCTGTTGGTTTGGGCTGTTAAGCTGATGCTCCTCTTGCTGGTGAATGGTTTGTAGTCTCTGTTGGTCTGTACTAAGGAGTGAAGTGCTGGGCGTTCACCTGAGGTTCAGAGGATTGGCTCCTCTCTCTACAGCCCTTGTTCTGAGAGAGAACGGCCCTGGACAGTTAGGGCTCACTTTTATATTTCTTTGCAATTTCTATTATTGTGCAGGTAAGTTGAAAGTAAAAAGATGGAAAAATATATTCTGTGCAGACATTAACTCAAGAAAGGTAATGTAGCTATGTATTAGCATTAGATAAAGTAACTTCAAGATAAGCAATATTAACACAAAGAAGGTGGTCACCGTGTAAACATGATTGTGGGTAAAACAAGAGTTATAGGCTCAGCCGGAGGGTCTGATAGGCTCCTGTCTTAGGCTCGAGTTCTGCACATCCAGAGGCTGTTTTGGGTGCTGGCTGGTTCTGAGGGACGGGGTGTGTTCATTGCTGATTCTGGGTGAGTGAGGTGTTACAGTTGTTACCGAGTCTGCCCCTTGGGGACAAGGGGAGAAAGTCCTCCGGCTGCTGAAGTAGTTGGAGGTGAACAGCAGAGCATCCAGAGAGCAGGCATTGGCTGTGATCTGGGGCGCAGCGGGGGGCGGGGTGCTGCCTGGGCCAGGCCTCAGGCCTCAGGACTCTGACCTCCCATGCAAGGTTTTTATCAGCAACTTGGATGAAGACATAGAAAGCAGGCTTATCAAATTTGCGAATGACAGAACCAGGATGGAAGGCTAATCTGTAGGATAATAGAATCAAGGTTCATAAAAATCTTGGCAGGAATGATGGGCCGAACCTACAAGGGAGCCTAACAGGATTACCTGTGAGCCCTGCTGGGCCGGCAGCCGCGGCCGGCAGCTGGGGGGCCGGGAGGACCCAGCCTGAAGCAGGTTGTGCCCAGCAAGGCCTGGGGTTCCCAGGTGGTGATTTTAAATGTAACGTGTGTGTGATTAACTGCAGTAGGAGCTGCAGATCTCAGGATGTGAGCTGCTCAGCGCCTCCTCCCCGGAGCCCCACTTCCGGAACCCCCCCTCCCCCCCCACACACACCCTGACGGATCTCGCACTGGCTTTCGGGCCCAGCCGGGCTCTGACTTTTCCTGGGGAGCTCCTCCGAGTCTGCAGTGTGGAGTCAGTCATGCTCGGCTGAGCGCCCAGACAGCCTCTCCCACCAGACGGTGCTCCCCAAATGTGGCCACTGTCTGATTGTCCATCTTCCGCTTCGGACTCGGGGCTCCTGCAAGTAGGGACTGTCTGCCTGTCAGACCTTTGCCCTGAGCAGTGACGCCGTGACTGGCACACAGCAGATGCCCGCGGTGCCTGGCTGGGGCTCTCCATCCTCAGAGTCTGGGCTAGGGCTCTGGGCCCCACATCTTTGGATCTTTACCTGCCTCGCCACCAGGTAGTGACAGGTGTGCAGACCTAGCCTGTGGGGAGCAGGTGATGGGACTGTGGATGCAGCAGCAGACAGTGCCCAGGTGTGGACCATCCTGAGAGTCCGAAGCAGCAGAGAGGTGATGGGGGGGAAGGGGGGGTTGACTCCGCCCCTTGAACAGAGAGATTTAAAATCACAGGCGCCATCTAACCACGTGCAGGCTGCTTGCTTGGCGGGGTCTCCCATTAACCTCCAGCTGATAGTGGAGAGGATTTTCCAACTGGAACGGGAGGAGTAGAAAACGAATGATAGCCCCGGGCGGGGGCTCAGTGGTTATAGTGTCGGTCCACAACTCAGGGTCATGGGTTTGATTCCTGGTCAAGGGCACGTACCTGGGTTGCAGGCTCGAGGAACAGGGCGCATTTGGGAGGCAACCAGTCTCTCGCTCTCGCTCGCCTCCCTCTCTCCCAGTCTTTCTAAAACTCAATAGAAAAAATAGCCTTGGGTGAAGGTTGACAAACAAAACTCACGATAATAAGCACAACAGCAACACTGCCTCCTGGCCTCCCAGCACCCGGCACTTGTGCACAGCCCCCACCTCCCGCCTCCCTGTGGGGTGGTGCACTCGTGGCCCCACCAAGCAGACGAGGACCCTGAGCCCTGTCATCAGGCCCGGCCGTCAGGAGCTGGTCACGGGTCTGGGCCCAGCTGAGGGCCTGGGTGCTGTGAGTGCCTGGGCTCTGCAGCTCCTGCTCCTGCTCCTGCTCCTGCTCTTGTGGGATCAGTGCTGTGGTGCCCCCGCCGCCCCCTCTGTGTGTGGGTTGGCTCCTCACCTTTTTTTTTTTTTTTTTTTTTTTTTTTTTACTGAGAACGATACTTTATTTAGTCATTTTTTTCTTTCCAACTGGAACTCTGGGAATTCAGAATGAACGTCCTTGCCCGTGAGCTTCTTATAGACACGGGAGGAAGTTTCAGCCTTGTGCCCGGCGCTGCTGTGCTGCGCTTTGTCCCGGTGCACCTGTGAGCCGGCTGCGTCCAGCTTCTCGCGGGTCCTCTGCCCACGATTGCACTTGGAAGACGAGGCCTCCAGGACGGCGGTCGGCGTGCGGCTCCGGGCGCTTCTGCTTGTTCTTTGTCCGGCTTTTTCGGGTCGGCTTAGGCAGACCCTCCTCTGCCCGAGGAAGACCACGTGCTGCCCATGAACTTCTTCTGCAGCTCGAGTACCAGCGGACGTGGATTTTCTGTAAAGACTTGAGGAACCAGAACGAAGATGATAATAGCCTTCCGACCGCCACCAACTTCAGTTTCCTTGGCCGCTGTGATGTCCAGTCCCGCAGCTGGGCCTTGAGGTCCACGTTCATCTCCAGTCCCAGCAGAGTCTGGGAGATGCTGGACTCGAACTCTGGCTTCTCGCCATTGGGCTCCACGATCTTGGTGCTGGAACGGAGCGTGGCTCCTTCTGCGTGGGCGCCGCTGAGAAGAGCTTGTTTGTTAACCTTCACCCATCGCAGCTCTCCCTCCTCGGTGTACGGCTTCTCGCTCGGGTGGTGGAGATCCCGCGGACAAGCACGTGTGCGTCGGTGCCACGCAGGCGTTGTTCTCCCACGGGCCGCACGGACCACAGTCGGACAGCCCTGGGTTCGAGTCCCTGCCGCCACTTCCTGGCTGTGGGACCACAGTCCAATCACTTGCCGTCTCGGAGCTCAGCTGTGAAGCGTAGGGTGGTCTCCAGTTGTGTAAAGCACTCGCTCGGCCCCTGACGAAAGCTGTCCCGCCTGCTTTCGGGGTCTCAGCTCCGGCTGAGCTGGTCTGGCCGAGCATTTCCACAGACAGTTAGACGGAGAGTTTCCAAGTGAGTGCAGCTCATTCGTGGAACTTTTCCTAATAGTCAGGTGTCGGAGCTGAGGGAAGGGAGGGCATCAGGTCGTCCGACTCCTGGCCGCGTGCTGTGCCCTTTGCCATCTGCCGGCACTCGGCCTTCCAGGTGTCGGGGGGGGGGGTGACCCTCAAGGTAGAATGCATTTCCATAACTCTCTTCTGCAGCCAGAAGTGCGATGACGATCCTTTATCAGAGGGGACCTCAGGGAACGTGTGTTCTCTCTGAAATTAGAGAGGGGCCACTCAGTCTCCAGAAGTTCTTTTGAGCACCTGCTCGGCATCAGGCAGAGCTAGACCCATTTACTTTCGAATCCCCGGGGCTTAGGGTCTTTGCATGTTACGCTCGAAGCAGTTCTCATGCCCAGAATCGGTCCACGCTGGCAGGTGGCGAGGGAAGATGCCACCAACCCTGTCATTCTTTCCGTCTTTCCCCGGTTGGTCAGGGCTGAGAGCCACCAGCAGGGGCAGCGTCATTCTTTCTCTTCTCTGTGGGCTGGTCCTCCCTGGGGGTGGGGGGAGGGCTGGTGCTCTCTGAGGGGGTGGAGGCTGGGCTGGTCCTCCTGGGGGGAGGGGGACACGGCCTCCCCGGAAGTAAGACAGCAGCCGAGCGCTCAGCTCTCATGCATCTTTCTTTGCTGTTTCAGTTTTACTGAGTTTCTGGACCCATTCGAGAGGGTCATCCAGCCGGAGGAGGTCTGGCTGTACAAGAACCCCCTGGTGCAGTCGGACAACATCCCCACCCGCCTCATGTTTGTAAGTACAGGTCTCCGCCGGCTCGGCCTTTCTCCCAAGTGGGTTTCTCCTTCAGCTTTTCTCACCCCCTGGAGACGGTGAGCAGTCCATCAGGTTCCAGTTCAAAACCAAATCCTGGCGGGCGCTGCTGGCGCTGCCGGCTCACCGCTCACATGAGAAGGAGTGATGGCGGGCGCTGGGAGGAGGGGCCTGCCGGCCTGAGCTGCGCTGAGCTGTCCCCAGTATTCACAGTGAAATCGGCTGGAAACTGCAGCTCCACCTGCTTCGAAGAGAAGCTGAGGTCTTCGCCGCTGGTTTCAGTTGGTCAGCTGTCGCCACCAACGAGGCGGCCAGTGTGACTCCACCCCTGGGTAGTGCCTGGGTCTCGGCTTCTGGAATAAGTGGGCCAGCGCCCACATCGGGGGGATTCGCTGGGATGTGTGTACGTCGCCTGCCCCACGGCAGTCACACCCTCTGAGACTCCCTCCTTGGCCGGCCCTTGGTAACTGCACGGGAAGATGGTCTCAGTGCGTCCCACCCACACCCCGTGGAAGGAGGGTCTTTATTTCCACGGTTGCAGATGCAGAACTGCATTCCAGCGAGTGAGTGGCAGGGCCAGGAACCCCATCTGAGCGGCCAGCCCCGAGCCCCCTCAGCGAGGCTGCCCTCGGGCTGGGGCTGGGTCAGGGCTCCTGGCTGGTGCCCAGGCCGTGCCGTAGGGAGATGAGCCCCCGTCATGCAGCGATGACGGAACTGGGTGGCAGCCTCGGAAGGAAGGTACTCCTCTTTGCCAGCCCTGGTGCCTCTGGGGACAGAGCCCCTGGTTCCAAAGCTTTCCTAGAGCATGTGAGAAACGTTGCATTTAGAAAGAAATCCCCTGATTTTATGGAGGAACTCCTGTTCATTAGCGATGACTAGTGAGCATTCAAGTCTTATTTTCATCGCTTTGTAATCATTGCTTTTCTGCTGGAAAATAAACTGGATTTTCATCAATCTCAGAGGAATTAAAAATTAGGGTGGTTATGAGGAGATCACTACTTAACACTTGAGCATTAAAATGAGACTTCTTCCATTTTGGCTCTAAGTCAAATCTACGAATCCTAGAAATAAAGGACCTGGGTGTCTGAGTAGTTCACTGTGCGTCTCTCATGGGGAGCTTCTCTTTATCCCATCCCCCCCCCCCCCAGTCTTCAGGTTTCATGTGAAACTTGGTTTAGAGATGAGTGTTCGTGTGGGGTAATGTGAGCGATGTGTGGCCGTGTCCTGGGCTTACGTGAGCAATGGATTGTTTCAACGTCTAGATACAAATGCTACAGATCTCTGGGTGCAGAGCAGGAGAACTGAGGCAGGGGGCAGTGCTGAGATGCCTCGTGGCCATTGAGCCATGAGCCTGAGCGGTGGGTCTCCTGGGTGTGCCCTCGCCTCCC